CATAAATCCATCCATCATCCATCCATCCATCCATCTATCCATCCATCCATCCATCCATAAATCCATCCATCATCCATCCATCCATAAATCCATCCATCATCCATCCATCCATCCATCTATCCATCCATCCATCCATCCATAAATCCATCCATCATCCATCCATCCATAAATCCATCCATCATCCATCCATCCATCCATCTATCCATCCATCCATCCATCCATAAATCCATCCATCATCCATCCATCCATAAATCCATCCATCATCCATCCATCCATCCATCTATCCATCCATCCATCCATCCATAAATCCATCCATCATCCATCCATCCATAAATCCATCCATCATCCATCCATCCATCCATCTATCCATCCATCCATCCATCCATAAATCCATCCATCATCCATCCATCCATAAATCCATCCATCATCCATCCATCCATCCATCTATCCATCCATCCATCCATCCATAAATCCATCCATCATCCATCCATCCATAAATCCATCCATCATCCATCCATCCATCCATCTATCCATCCATCCATCCATCCATAAATCCATCCATCATCCATCCATCCATAAATCCATCCATCATCCATCCATCCATCCATCTATCCATCCATCCATCCATCCATAAATCCATCCATCATCCATCCATCCATAAATCCATCCATCATCCATCCATCCATCCATCTATCCATCCATCCATCCATCCATAAATCCATCCATCATCCATCCATCCATAAATCCATCCATCCATAAGCTTTTAAGTTTTTTGTTCTAAAACAAATTTTATTTTGAAACTTCAAGTCTAAAGTAAAGTACCCTCCTCCAGAACCTGTGGTCATGAGGTTCTAATCAGACCTGCAGAATCTGATTCTGGGTCAGAAGGTTCTCCTCACCTTGGTGGTGATGTTGGCTGGAACTGCAGGCTGAGGGAGAGCGCTGCTGATCCACGTCAGTACACCAGGAACTGGACTTCAGATACGAAACACATGAAAACCAAAGTTTAAGTTCTTTGTTCAGACTGTTCAGGTTCTGACCTCAGCCAGCTGATGAGACCTCTGCGTGTGGACTCACCCGTTCCCTGCAGCCGTCTGCGCGTCCTGCTTCAAAGTCTCAGCTTTGGCAGCTGCTGGTAAATTAGTGTGACAGCTTTAATGTGAGGAACAGAATGAAGCTGTGCAGCACAACATTAAAACATCTGTGATCTCACCATCATGTTTGCACTCGTCTTCAAATGTCACCTTCTTTTCCTGTTTCAAGCACAGAATCAACAATCAGTAATTACACCTGCACAGGTGGAGAATTTCACATTTTTCAGGTTTATTCTCTCAGATTTCAGAGCTACGTGTCCAACAGTTCAAACACAAACGCTCAGAAAACTGCTGCAAATAAAAGATATAGCAACATGTGGAGGTTTTGGTTATTCTTTTAAGAAAGTTAAAGGGTCTTTAGAAGTGTTTTATTTGTTTTACAGCTGTGAACAATGTTCTGCTGCACCTTGAATAATTTTCACTGTATTATTCAACATTACAGACAATTAAAAATAGAACATTTTCTTAGTTAAATACAAAAATTAAATTATTAAAAACATTAAAACCAAATTAGTTAAATTTGAGAATTAAGAGAAACAATCTGCCCGTTCAGTAAAACAATTTCATTTGGTAATTTGTTGAAATAAGAAAAATATCCAAGCTAATAAAATGAATAATCAAACACATTCTGCTCTTGTTTACTTTATCAGTCTCAAAACAAACAAAAATACTTTTGTTTGGATATAAGATTGTAAAACTTGATTAAATGAACAATTTTTGCAGACTAATTTTTTACAAATTATCAATCATATCCCAACCAGGAAGCTGGGACCTCTGAGGGGCGGGACCTCTGAGGGGCGTGGCTTACATGTGCAGGGGGCGGAGCTGCAGCTAGTTTCTCCTCTTTCTCCTCCTCAGTGTTGTTGGACGGAGGCTCAGGCGGATGGGGAACAACTTTTACCACCCAACTCAACATCCTTTAAAGAAAAAAAAAAATCAAACAAAATATGAACTTCCTGACACAACCTGGACTCAAACCTGCAGCCTCTGGGTCACCAGGAGAAGGACCAGGACCACCAAGCTACAGTACCACACCCCCTCAGGAAGATAACGCTGCAAAAATAACTCTCTGACAATATGCAGAGATTAAAATGTTTCTTTCAAACTGCAAATTTCAGACTTTTCAGAAGTTAACTGACATAAAACGCTATCCTGCCATGTCATCAAAATGAAATGACTGAGCTTTCATCCAGTTTCAAGCAAAGATGTTGCATAATACTTGGAGTTTGTGTTGTGAATAACTTTCTGCTACTATCACATTAAACTTTAGCTCAATATCTGTAAAATTAGATTACAGACTTTACTTTATTTTAAACTCAGTTGGCTGTAACAGACATTTTAAATTGGATTAAATAAAAAGTGATCAGTTGCAGGTGGAGATCAGTTGAGTAAAATTTGTCTGGTGGCTCATGAACAAACATGGCAGGCATTAAAAAACCGTGTTTAGACTGAAAAACAAACCAGCTTGAATAATAAGCTTGTTGTCCTGGTTCAGGTTGAAGCCCCGCCCCCACCTGCCTGGCTGAGTGTCAGAGCTGACGACCTCTGACCCTAATCCTCCCCAGGAGGCCACTGGACATCCAGACAAACACTTTCACTTCTTAATCAACGTGCTGACCAGCTGTCCAGTCACACGTCTGTGGTTTTACTGGTCACTTTGGTTTAGAGTTCATGAGTGGGACAATAGGACAAGACAGGGGCACAAACTGTTCAAAACAGATGATCAAAGATGATCAAACAGATGATCAAACATGATCAAACAGATGATCAAAGATGATCAAACAGATGATCAAACAGATGATCAAAGATGATCAAACAGATGATCAAACATGATCAAACAGATGATTAAACAGATGATCAAACAGATGATCAAACAGATGATCAAAGATGATCAAACAGATGATCAAACAGATGATCAAAGATGATCAAACAGTTGATCAAAGATGATCAAACAGATGATAAAAGATGATCAAACAGTTGATCAAACAGCTGATCAAACAGATGATCAAATGTGATCAAACAGATGATCAAAGATGATCAAACAGTTGATCAAACAGATGATCAAACAGATGATCAAACAGATGATCAAACAGATGATCAAAGATGATCAAACAGTTGATCAAAAATGATCAAACAGATGATCAAAGATGATCAAACAGATGATCAAAGATGATCAAACAGATGATCAAAGATGATCAAAGATGATCAAACAGTTGATCAGTGTAAATATATTCAGATTTTAGAGCAGTATCAGCATTTCTCTCTGCAGCAGGGGTCTGAAACATTTCAGGAGCAGAATAATGGTTTGAGGGTCCTCCCCCAGTCAAAAAATTACATTTGGAAAAGTATAAAAGCATTTTTTTGGCATTTGGAACAAGACTTCGTTAAAGAACAAAAACATAAAAGAGCAGACAATAAAACAAAAATGAGCTGTTGACACATTCAATATTACCAAAGTGTTAAACATCTCTCATGAGAAAACATACATCGTACTGACAGGTAGAGGGTCGACACGTCTTTTAGACTCTAACTAAATCTGGTCATGCAGATTTAATAAATAAATGTATTCAGAGACACAAACAATCATTATTTAATCATTGCACTGACATTATAAAACGTATAAATTTGACCTACACTGATATCTAATCAAGTCCCTAAAAAATGACCGAATATAAATGCCTTGAACAAATAAAAAATCTTTAACAAAAATCATGTTACTAAACTGAAACTTACGTTTATTTTTAGTTGAAAAGATCAATTTTGATAGAGAAATGTGATATATTCTATATGATTTATCTGTGACAAGCTATTTACTGATTTATAGATGAATAAATTTAAATACAGTATAAATAACTGCAGCATCAATCTCATCATCACACATCTTGTCAAAGTAGCCAATTTTAAAGTGATGCTGGTGAGCTGTTAATGCTAAAGGGCAGCTAACTCATGGTACAACAATAAGCTACTGTCTGAAAGACAAACACCTGAAGTGTGTGTGTGTGGTGCGGTCCGATCGAGTCTTTCCTCTGCAGAAAAAGAGAGTAGGACCCGGACGTAAAAAGGGGTAGAGTCGGGTCAGTGTCAGACCCATACCATATTTGGTAATGGCACCATTGCCCTCCAGAACTAAAGGGGGCACATGAAAGCTACGATCCATCCTGCCTGGATCAACGTTCAGGCTGGTGGTGGTGCAATGGTGTGGGGGATATTTTCCTGGCACAGTTTGGGCCCATTAGTACCAACTGAGCATCAAGTCAGTGCCACAGTATTGTTGCTGACCATGTCCATCTCTTTATGACCACAGTGTACCTTCTTCTGACCATGTCAATCCCTTTATGACCACAGTGTACCATCTTCTGACCATATCCATCTCTTTATGACCACAGTGTACCATCTTCTGACCATGTCCATCTCTTTATGACCACAGTGTACCATCTTCTGACCATGTCCATCTCTTTATGACCACAGTGTACCGTCTTCTGACCATGTCCATCTCTTTATGACCACAGTGTACCGTCTTCTGACCATGTCCATCTCTTTATGACCACAGTGTACC